TTAACTTAGGAGAAACAATGAAAACAGCAAGAATATAATCAAGGCTTTTGCCACCAGAGTGGCAAAGAACTTTCTCTCCATCGCTGTCTCTTGGGTACGTTCACCTTTTGCTGAATTTTGTAGAAACATGCTCCCTCATCTGGCAAGGTTGCCTTAATGAGAGGTTATGGACCTTACACTTGGCTATTCTTCCAACTGTTGTCTGACTCCCAGGATTTAGGAGGTGCCTGTGTGAAAGTACTCATTACCTACATGAACACATAGGAATTGCTCAGCTGCTGAATTACCAACACAACGGCTCCAGGAAAGTCTGATAGCAAAGCTCTATTTCCCAGCCCTACCAGTCCTATTTTATTCTTCTGAACTCAACTATCTGAACAAAGTACATGAAATAATGAGCAGCACATATTTCCCTGAGCAAGAATTGACTGCAGAAAAGAAACTATTTGCATATTAGAAATCCTGTTCTGTAGAAAATCTGTATGTGCCAGGAAAACTGAACATATGTGCTGAATGAATTTAGGCAAAGCTGCACCTTTGCTGTGCTGCTTATGAAAAATCACATTTACTACACCAGTCTGACACTGACATGAGCTTTTCATCAGCATTTCATCAAAATCAAACAAATATGAAGAACACCAAGAATAAGACAACAATACAGCATTCATGGTTCAACATACTTCACCAGGACGTGGAAAAGGACCTGGCTGAAGCCAAACACCTGCCCTCAAGTACCCAACAGATCCCTCTCCGAATATTCAAACAAGTGCTGGCAGGACAGAGGACAGTATGTGCCAACAGGTACTTGAACAATGCACATGTGCACCATGGGGGGATAGGCAGCTCTGCTTGCTTGTGGGAGATCCCTTGGGCTGTGCTTGCGGCACAGTTCTCTGCAAGAACCATTTCAAAAAATAACGCAGAATTGTAGCGGGAGGGTACAGGAAGAAACAGAGTACAGAAGTCTGGTAGAGATCTGGATACTTCAAAACATCAAAAAGTTTGATGGAGTTGCCCAGCTGCCTACCTTAACAGTAGGCAGTGAACATGTATTTTCTTCCAGTATTTTCTTCTTTGGTGCCTAGTGGTGGTAATTCCCTTGGAAGAGCTGTATGACAAAACCTTTTTGGCAACTGCAACACACCAATGGAAATGATTTGCAACCAAAGTACCTGTCTGTTCAAAACCAGTGTTTGAAACAAATGAAAGGAAGAGTTAGCAATAGTTCCGCTGCTTTGGAAAAATGGGGTATTAGCATTCACTTGTTCAGCTTAAACAGCATGGAAATATCACTGGCCATGGGCTGCTTGAGAGTCTTTCTCTTACTTTAATACCGTACTTCTAAGCTTCTTGATATCAGACACTTGGATACTTGGTTATTCAAATATATGGCTGATACATTGCTAATGTCCAATAACAAGCAGTATGATAAAGACATTGCCATTGAGCTGTTGTTTTTTTAAAGACAACCCCAAAACCAGTTTTCGGGCAAATGTCATGATAAGGGTTGTCATTTTGCAGTTTCAGCTCTGCTGCACACACAAAAAAATTCTGTATTGTGTTCAGATTTTTTTGAATGGTTTTAATACACACGCACAAAAAAACCCAGAGAGTAAAACTGAGCTCATTCCATGTTATCTTTATCTGAGTATTGTACCATTTATATGAATCTGCCTGTTCAGAGCAAAAGACATTGCACGGATGCTGAGATAAAAACCAGTTTTTGTTATTAATCTCCCATTCAATTTTCTAGTGGAGCCATTCCAGTATCTACAAACACATAAAAATTTTGCACTGTCTATGATTAGACTTGCTAATCAAGCTGTACCTTTATCCCAGTGCATATTTACCAGCAATGATAAGGCACTTCTGTAACTTACGCCATTCTGTCATTGGGAAAACTGGAGAATTTACTTCACCTCAGGTAGCATTTACTCCTGTATGGAATAAATCTTCTGTTCCACAATTACCTGGGCTGACTAGAACACACAGGATGCCAACTCCACGCAACCCTTAAGAATCTGCTGTTTTTCTCTTCCCTGCTATCTCTGTCAGTACAAGTGCAGAGGGAATATCTAATCCTGAGATACTCAGCTGTGTACATTTTGTTCGTAGGTCACAAATGTAGTATCTCCTATGCTCCTGCTGGGAATCCTGCCCTTCACACTATTCTCCAGGCATGGCTGGCTGTTTCAGTTATGAGAGGAACACAGCACCTGAATGGTCTTGGCAAAAGCACTGGAAAAAATTTAACCAACGGTAAAAGCGAATGTATTCTCACATGGTCTATAAAAGCATCAGAACTCAGACGGTACTCAAATAACCAATTTATTTCTTTAAATCACCCCAAAACAGACACAATAGTTACAGGGATTGTTATGGTAGAAGCAGCAGGCTCAGGGAGAACCAGAGTAAGACAAATCACTGTCAAAAAGAGTAAATCTCCTGCTGTATTACATGTGGATGCAGCCTTGCAAGACTTTTTAAATATAAAATCTCCATGTTATGTGGATGAAAATGCAGCTGTTGATGAAGTCAGAGCTATTCAAGGGCTCTAATTTCTTTGCAACTGATGATAGCTGCACTTCTTTCTCTGCTACTTTCTCCTTATAAGAACAAGACCCTGCTCCTCCTGATGTTTGGATCAGCCCTTGGAGACAGGCACTAAGTAATATAAGTCTGTAATTTTTACAATATTATGATGCTTTGTGACTCACAAATCATAAAAATATTCTCAGGTATTTCCAAATACGTACTGCAGCACCAAAGTATTGAAGGATTTCTGGCTAGCTCAACAACTGTCTTGCTCTGCATCATTTGCACAGTTCTTAAAACCACCTGTTGGAGGGATGAAATCCTGGCCCAGGAAAGGCTAAAGTAGGCCACACCTCATCCATGAAAGTGGGATCTCAGAACAGGGTATTGCTAGGGTATCTATTAAGAAACTCAGCAGTAATTTATAAACTCATTGACATGGCTATATAGAAATATTTCTAGTTTGTCAGAATAAATCCTACTATTCATCATCAGCATAGTTATAGCCTACATCAATCATCTGCACTTCAGTCACCTTGCTCATTCTCATACTCTGCTGATTCAGCTTTAATTTTATATCACTCATATGAGTCTTTCACAAAGGTCACAAAAGTGCCTTCAATGTAAGGAGAGTGGTTCTGTCTCAGTTAGTACTCCTCCTCTAGTTAAACTCATTTCAGTCAAATTAACTACACTCCACAAAAATTAGTATCCTCATCCTCTGGATTTACACTGGAAATAATCACCAATACTCATCAGGCTAGGATAGGAGACATTAGATTGAAAAAACAGCAGCAGAACCAATTTTTCTCACTGCTTATTTTCTAAGACCTTCATTTCATGTCTTTTATTTGTGCTTCAAACTTGTAGCTAAGGAGTTCTGACGTCTGGTCTCCTTTGTGGGAGTGACTGTGGTTTACTGAAAAAAAAAGTTTTAGTTACTCAAGATTTGTAGCACTTAACAAATTCATATTTCATATATCAATTTTTCATATATCAAATTCTAATCCAGATCAGAAATTACAAAACCCTATGATCTATTGCTGTTGTTTTTCATGGACTGGTTTACATATGAACACTTCAAAACTTCTTTCCTCTCCAACTTGCAGCCCTAGGTAGTCATACAGAAGATTCACAAGAGCTGAGCCCAGTCCAATACCACCTCCAAGAGAAAAAAACACTGTAAACTTTAGCCCAAAGTTGATCTTATGGACATTTTAATAGGTAAAAACAAAAGCAGATAGTAAACATTTTTGAAACAGGTTATGTGTTTGTATCTCAGCACTTCAGTAAGTGTGACAAATGTTGCCACCTCATGGACAGGTGCAGGGTTTGATTCCGCTCAGCGGTAGGAAGGAAAACAGATCACGGAGATGACTCATTGCTGCCCTTTCACACTCTCCTGAGGAGGAAGCCAGAGCTTGGCCCGAAGGATGCTTTTGTCACTTAGATTCACCTGGAACTCATTCATTTGGGTCTGAATCCAGAAGTATGGCTACACATCCACAATGGAGAAAAAAAACAACATCAAACACACACAAAAAAACCCCCAAACAAACAACAAAATCCCATAAACAAAAAACTAACCAACCCTCCCCCACCCTCCCCAAAATTCCCCCCAGAAAACCCAAAGAAAAATAAACAAAAAAGAGAAAAGGCTACATATGATCAGGGTATTTGACCATCGCCAATATCAGAGCAAAGGGGCAGAGAGACTGATGACTTTTCCTTGGAAAAAAACATAATATTGAACATAGGACCTGGCACGGTCTTCTACTGTAAAACACTGAAAAGTGAGCATTCAAGAGTAAAACATCTGAGTAACAGGCTGTGGGACCTGGAGTTTTCAAGGGGGTGACAGAAGTCTTCAGATTGATGAATATCATAATCCCCAACTGGACTAGGGGATTTTAATGCTCTATAAGTTGGGAATATTTTACTTGTAACCTGTAATTGTAGTATATTCCATCATGTATTTCCAAAGCTGAAGTTTTATGTTATAATACCACATTGATTATTTACTGTTCCACCTCTTTTGGGGAACTGCTGAAGAAATACTGTCACCTGTTGAATTTCTCCCTTTCTGATGAAAAGGCAGCTGTGCCACCCTCCTTTATAGGGCAGAGATTGTTATAAAAGCCATTACACATTGTGTATCAAAGTATGTTCATTCCAAACGGCACTATAATTAGCACTTTATATAACTGGATGAGCATAAAAGGACTATAAAATGCTGAAGTAAAAATAAAACATTTCAAGTTTGACATAGGGATAGAACTTTAAGAATCAAGGATTTTTTTTTTAAATAGAGCTTTTTAAAAATAGATTCATAGTCAACATTTATGAATGGTCTGAAAAAAGACAGTATGGTGTCTAATTGGGAGTTTCCTATCATCGTGATCTCCATGTAACAGTGTAACAGTCTGCCGACACACTACTGAAGAGAAAGAAGAATTTGTACCAGCTTGATTTTTAAATATGTTCTTATGTTTATTATACTTTGCTACTCCACTCTCCTAAAATGGTGGCCTCAGGAAAAGCTGCTTTGGCAGGCAATTGCAAAGATTCCTGCGGAGAGGAAGTGAAAAGACTGGGCATACAAACAACGGCTGCTGCCATGTTCAAAGCACTGGGGAGAGTTCATAGAGCAAAATGCAGTCCTAAGTAAATGGGTTTCAGGCAATTTCAGTGTTAAGATAACATCATTAAGAGTTGAACAGATTGTGCTCAAACCCTGCTGTTTATAATTAACACATTGCTTCCAAATACTCCAGGGTCCCTGGTAAATAGTCCTCTGCTCAGATCCACCCAGACCAATCAGAGTATTTCCATCAGGTTCCATGCTGGGCCAGCACCTGTTTGGACAAATCCAAAAGAGCCAAAATACTCTTCTTTCTGGCCAGCTAAGTAGAGAGATGAACACAGCTTGCCTTAGTCATTGTCACAGTGTCCATATGGCTGTGAAGCTTGTTTTCACAAGAAATCGTACAAGTACTTTATTATGTCGAAGTTCACGGTCCTATAAACAAAAACACAGTATATTAGAGCAGTCATCTTAACAGTGATCTTTAACCTGTTTGGAGATGGCACACACGGGACATTCTGCACAATCAAAACCAAGCAATATTCCCAAAAGAAATGCAAGCAAGGATTAATGGATTTTTTACTTCTATCATCATTTACAGTAACTCTCTTCTGATTACTTAAACTTTGTAATACTCTGAAAAGGAAATAAAGCAACTTCCTAGTAAAAAATGGAAGATTCTTATTTCAATCATTAGCAGTAAAAATATATCAAACTTAGTAAGATTATATTTTCATATAGTAAACTTGATACTCTAGTTGGTGATGCAAAGCAGCAACCTTTTATGCTACTGAATGTTTTGTTCATCTCTCAAACCACCTGTTTTAGCATTTACTATGTAACTCCTTCATCTGTGCTCATTTGCAGTCTGCGTTCTTTCAGTCTTGACAGTAGTTGACCCATGTTCATAGCTAAATTTGAAAAATCCAAGAATGTCACTCAATGAGATAGAAGATTTTAATGTACACTTTTGTACTTTAATGGCAGGCAAAATGAAACAGCAGTAGAATAAAACATATAATTATTTTTTTGTCTCTAAACTCATTCTTCTATACAATCTAACACTCAGACTTTGGGGTTTACTGTTTGAATAAATAATGCAAATTACTGCATATAATGACAAGTATAAAATTAAAAGGTTTTTTTTTATAAAAGTATTCAATGATGCAAAAATAACAGCTAACAATGCAAAGTGAGATTAACTAGCTGAATGTCTTATTTGTTCGACTTCAATAATTTAATATTCTCTGTTCATGCATCAGCCTGTAACCCACTTTTCAAAAAGTTTCTATAAAACATCATATTGGACAGAGAAAAAGTTTAGAAATCCCCAAGACACATAACAGGAAATACTGTGTTACAGTCTATTTAATAATCCAGTGACAAATTTAAAGAAATAAACTACCACTGTTAGACCCATGTGTCATTGTGTCACTCAAAAATGTGCTTTAGTTACAAGGCTTTCCACAGAAACAAAATCATACAAATCATAACAAACACTGACCTTATCAACTAAATGAAACTGTCCTGTCATAACAACTGGGTTTATTACAGACTCTCTGAAAAGATCCACTGCACTCAACAAACATTAGGAGAGCCCTACATCAGCTAGTGAAAATCCAGGAACTTAGGTTTAAAATTCTTAAAACAGAAAGATTTCTAACAAAGAGATGTCTAACTTTATCTTCAGCTGAAAGTTTAACTACTATGTGGTAGAAACCATGGAAATATGTCCACAAAGGCAGAGTATATGCAACAGAGTAGAGCCAGACATGACGTTCTGTGGTACTGAAGAAAAAAGACTGTACCCTGTCAGCAGTTATCACACTAAAAGCCACCAGCAAAAGACAAGTTTTTTACTTTTTTTCCAAAAACAGGTGGCTTTTTTTTAATGCAAACTTCACTTTTTCTTATAAAATACAGAAAATGAAATGACAATCTGAACAGCTTGAATGGAGGTGGGGAGGGAAAGAGCATCCTTTTCTGTCCCACTCTTTGCACTCTCCAGCCTTCCACTGGAAAATACGCAGGAGTAGCTGAGATGGTAAGAAGGCTGAGATGGTAACAAGGCTGAGGTATCTGAAGATTTTACTGACTGACAAACTTATTTTAGTACTACTATAGTAACAGAGAAAGAAGAATCAGAAGATGGGCTGCTTACTTGATGTGTATTTTGGTAGAAATTGCGAAGTAGTTCTTCTCTGCAACAAATATAACCTCTCCCATGGGTGGTTAAAATCTACAGTCTAATCTGCAGCTGCAAGACAATAGCACAGATAGAAAATGAAATTTCTTAAAGCACAGAAGATCGTGCCTTCGCTCCATTGAGAGAAGAGGGGAGCCCATATATCTGAGTTCATGAAACCCTGTCTTTCTACATACCATCCTCCTTAAAGATTTAACAAATACTGAGGGCTGAAAAAGGTATTTTAATGAAATGTGTAAGAAAGGAATAAAGCGAGATAAAAAAAGGGAGGAAATAGGAGAAATGCAAAATAGGCCAACTTCAAAATCCATCAGGTCATTTAAACAGCCCTATCTATGCAGTACAGAAACACCTGCAAACTACTTGGAGGGGGAGGAAAACAGAACTGCTTTCTCCCTCATAACATGTAGGAAAAGTCACTTTGGACATATATACGGGTATATACATATATATACTCACATACACACACACACACACACAGCTGATCTAAAGGAAAGCAAGCCGAAGCACTATACCATGCACTGAGTGATAGTGTCTCTGACAAATACTTTCTCCCATAAGCATGAGGGGCATAGCACAAGTTTTGGTCCTATATTCTGGCCATCTCTATCTTCCAGCAACTTTATGGAGTCAGTGAAACTTCTAAGGATGTTAAAGTTGCAAGGAGAGGGCTATCATTTCAAGTATCTTTACTCACAGATACATACAATGTATAACTGTACACACAATGATGTTGTTGAGCAGACGGTCTGCTGTACCTGGTACCAGGGGGAGCTTTTTCAGGGCACCATTCACGAGAGACTTTATTGCTGGGAATAGCAAACTGACATAGCAAAGAAGTGGAGGTCCTGCCAGTGTGGTCCAGCCAGACCTGACCCAGACACAGTTTTGTTCTATGGCTTGTACAACTGAAAATTGAAATCAGTATCTGTTGCATTTACTGACAAGGCTACTGGACATTTAATAGCTCAGGAGAGCAACATGTGCACTGAGGTTACAGCATACAGTCTACACCACAGGTTCCTCTGAAATCCCACATTACAGAAAAGAGTTGGCCTGGAGAATGTTTCTCCTTTCTGGGCGCTGTTCTGGCTAGACTGTTTATCCAAGACTTTCTAACAAGCTGGCTGAAGCAACAGGTGTGAGGTAGTGCTGGTGGCATTTGATAAATATGAGACATAGGCCTGATCGTTGTCTTCGTATTGCATCTATTTCTGTCTGCATATTATCAGCATCTCTCCTGATGGACCTGGAACTGTTCTCAGACTTCAAGACTGAAGGTTCTGAATTAACAAAGCCACTGACGTACCTATATTCATTTATGTACTGGCTTGTATCAACTACAGATCACACAAGACAGACTATGTGGAAGAATTCTTATAATCTATGTAGTTTTTATATCATATGTGCGACAGACATTGTTAAGAATGAAATATAATTTCAGATTCAAATACCATAATGTGCCTTTTGGTAATAAAATGGACTGACATTTTAGAGCAGTATTTTCATATGAAGTCCCTGACCTTTATTAAGCACAAAGACAGTATGTTACTGTAACACATACTGCCACTGTAACATAGATCTTTTTCAAAACAGGATTGGACTATACTTACCTCAACTTCTCGTAAATAAGACAACTCAGTCATTAATTCTTAGAAAACATCCATAGATTTCTATTCTGGTCTGCAAAGAGCTATAGACTGAGCAAATACTTGGTCTCTATTCAAGTCAGCACACACAGCAGTAAATGAACTGTAATAGGCTCACCGGGCAACAGCTCTGATGAAGTCCAGAGATACAGTACATTTGTATCGTGGTCCTTCCAGCTGGTCGTTCTGGCCAACCATGGATAACAGCTGGAGAGTCACAAGAGAGGTGATCTAGGAACAAGAGAAACTAGGAACATTAGTCATTTCTGTTAACGTGAATAGCAGTGGTCAACTTGGTTTTGTTTGGGTTTTTTTTGTTGTTTTGGGTTTGGGTTTTTTTTTGCTTTGCTTTGGTTGGTTGGGATATTTTTTAACATTTGCCATAATTCCTGTATTTCTCTGGAAAGTCATTCTTAATTGCTCACTGATCTTCTCATAGTTCTGCAGCTTGCAAACTCAGGAATGTACATGAATTTTTCCATTACATTTACAGCACAAGAAGTGAAAGACACAGTCTAAACCCTTTATCCTTTGTATCAAGAAGAATTCTGATCAGAAGAACTGGAATTATAGGCACGAGCTGAACATTTTTCAAGTCTCTGCCTGACAACCAGGAGAAACTTGAATTTTCTTTTCTTTATACCCAAAGACCTCCTCTTGAACTTTCACAATCAAAGCTGGATATTCCTGTGCCAGCTCATAGCACATTTTGAACAGATGGATGTATCACTCTACTCCAGACAAAGAAGAATTTTAAGGTTGGAAAGGAAAGGCTGAAGATTGTGTGCTTAAAAAGAGTAAGGCCTGAGCTGGGAGAAATGTGCCTACAAATTTGCCTATGTGTAACACACATAGAGTCTCTTGACAGAGCCACTGATTATTTTACCAAAATAGCAATGTACCAGCATAATTTTTCCCTATCTTTGTTCCTCCAAATGATGACTGCAGCATCACTGAAGTGCGGTCGTGGGATGTCTCCACTGAGTGCAGCCAGCCCACTCTGACTCAGTTAGGAAGAAACACTGTGGTGATTCCATTGTCTCCCTACCTGCTCCCAGGGGAAAGAAAGAGGTAAACTCAGAAAAGAAAATTTTTTCCTGGCCTTTGCAATAGATGGCACTGACAATTCAGGGCAACAAGGTTACAGACTGTGACAAACTGGTATCTGACCACAAGCCTCATTTTCAAAAAACCAGCCAACCATGACCCACTTCTGTGTAACGATAATAGCACAGTAAGGAATTTCTCAAGAATAAATATAGGAGGAAAGAAAGTGTCAGTTCAAACCTTCAAGGAAGCACATCGCTATAAAAGGCATCAGCAAGTTCTCACCAGTATCAATAATAATTAAAAAAAATAATCCTAACTCAGTAGTAACTCCATTCTTTTGCTGAAAATATACATGGTCTTCAAATTTATGACAGTGCTTGCAGGAGGTAGGAATAATTACTGAAGTTTCTCTTGAAGTGGACATAAGAAACTGACACCTATCTGAGAATAGAAAAAAATACGGTCACCAAGAAAGAGGTAATTCTTGTAACAGCCTGTGCTTAACTTTTTTTTGTGAGACATAAGGCAACAATAGCTTTGATGCCATCATTCTGCAAAGTCTTTGCAGTTTGTTTAAGAAATGCTGGCCTACACACAGTCACAAAGACAAATTCCATTTACTTAATTTAGATATATAAATTACATGATTTATGAATTTTAGCATTGACAGCATTTAAGAAAATTGAACTCAGTATGTGGTAAATGGCTCAAAATCCAGTTCATTAATCACTTTGAATGTATTACTGAATTGGTATAAACCTCAAACTTATCGTATGTTTATTTTCTTAAAATACTCATGAGTTGAGAGAACATTCTTCGTTCCACAAAGTCCTTATTCAGTCAGTGAAGAAGCATTATGAAGTAATCCGGTGAAACAACTGCTGATTTACACCCTAGTGCACCGATACTGGCAAATCACTTCTCCAATACATACTTGTAGCTAACTCCACCTTCAGAGATCACCAATAAAGGAATGGCAGCAGGCTCCTAAAAGCTCCCAGTGACTACAGCAAAAGTCCGGACAGTGTGGAGTTGGACCCATCTCAGTTTTATGCGGAATGTAAAAGACTCAATATACAATATTACAAGACAAATGAGGCTATTGATCATCAGAGTAACACAAACTTACTTACCAAACTGCAACCTTTTACTAACTTCTTTCACAATACTTTGCTTAATACAATGTCATCACAGGGAAGCAAGTGCTGAAACAGCAAGTCTCGACCCTGAGACCACTTAAAAAGACAGCAGTAGAGAGAACTGTCATTTTCAATTCATGCAGGCAAGAAACAGTTTTATATCTAAGAGGAGTAAATAGGGACCAGCTTTATACAGACAGCCAAATGTTAGAAGGTAAAACACCTAACTCACTATGTTTTGGAGTACAATTCAAAACACAGTTACAGATGCCTAGCCCATACATGGAGAAAGGCAGAGATTGCCAAAGGACAACTCCAAAAGCCTTCCTGCTGAGGGAGCAGCAGCCTGGAGGTTTGTCTACACAGCACTTTCAATGGGTTCAGGAGCAATCAAAAACAGCAAGGGAGTTCTATCATCCCTAAACAAAGACTTCTTAATTTTTTCCTGCTTTATACAATATAGCAGGATTGTCCTCCTGCTGAGTCAGCCACAGAAATGGTCAAGACACCTATTTTGTGCAATAAATTGATTTGTTAGAAGATTCAACTGTGGTAGATGTGGGAGTATTAAATCCCTCAAATATTTTGTGCTGAACCTACCTGTCTACATCCAGTAAATCAAAAATTACTGTCTTCACCAAATAGCTGAGAAGTCTTCTAGGACACAGAAGGTTCAAATCCCTCTTGAGACAAGAGGTTTGAGCGTGTCTTTGCCGAATGTCTGACAGCTACCTCGATGGGGGGCAGAGGAAGGAGGAAGAAAAAGCTGTGTATGGTATTAAATCATCACCAGATCTAACTTGCATTCTAACTGCTTCTGAAGCTGAGCTATTTTGCATAAAATTGCAATCACAGAGTCTCTCTGTGCCTACTTAGGGCATTCACCTGGCAAAGCAGGATAGAGTGGAATGAACTGGGTTTAAGCCAGGGTATTTTCAGCAAAATTTTAAAGCTCACCTATAACTTAAGCACTGAAAAACCTTACTACTTCAAAAGTTCAGGTGTTGCAGAACTTTGGAGGCAATATGTTCTTAAATTAAGACACACCAAAAGTTTGAAACACAGATGGGAAAAGTATAAATGCCATGCCAAACTAATTACATGTCTTAGCCAAAAATACCCCTTCACTTTTCAAAGCTTTTTTTTTTTTCCCTTTTTTTAATACCATGGGTACAGTGGCTCCATTTCATGATCACAAAAGCTTGGGAAAAAACATCTGGCAAGAGCAGACTAGAAACAAGCCAGAAAAACTGTGTGGCATAAAAAAGAATATCTGTTGAGAATCTTTTGAACAAAAGAAATTACAGTCGGAAGAAATACAACAGAGTTACTTGTAAATTTACTTAAATTGTAAAAGATTTATTGTTAGCAAAAATTAGGAAGTAAATGAAATTTTCTACAGAAATAACAGGAAAACTGAAAAAAAAAATTACTGATCTGAAAGATACAAAGGAACAGGTTTCACTGCTATGTTTAAAAATAAGTCATGGCAGAGCTTGGTTTGAAATACATTTGAGTGAGAAACCTGCTGCTGAGATCATGGATCCAAGGTGAGAATAATCATAAAAGCACAGTCGAGAGGTGCTGCCAGGAGGCAACGATCGCTCAGGTTACTTCTGGAGGTGCACATTGACGTTGAAACCTCTGGAAAAAACCAAGCAACTCACAAGCCATCCTTAAAGGCAGCTTTTTCCCCTATCAGCCTGGACTAACAGATGGGCCTTGCATCATTCCCCAAGCAGACACAAAGACCGGCTTTGTGAGCACATGGCTGCGTGGAAGTGAGAAGGATTCCAGAAGTGGGGTCTGTCTGCTGAGAAAGGCCATGCTCTTCCCGAGGACATTGCAAGAAGCAAGAAAACATTCAGTGAGGTGCAAAACATGAGCAGAATTAGAACCCAAGATACAGGGAAACACATGGTTAGTTTGAGTGAGCAATGACAGACTATCACAGGAAAGAGTCTGGACAAAGTGTGGGACACATCTCAAATCCATAGGATAAAACTAAATTGAGAAAATAATACTGACTAATTGGGGTGGAGGGGGAAGGTGTTTCCTCAGAGATGTCACTGAAATCTCACCAAGTGGTACATTTTAAACTGGACTGGGAAAATATTAATGAACGACACTAGGAGAAACAATTTCAAACTGGCAGAGATATACTAAATTATCTGCGAGGTATTTTTCACCTCCACAGTCTATAATCTTGAATTATCTTGCTCAAGATGCAACATTAATTGTAAATCTTCAGTCTGGCTTACTTTCATCCACAGATTCTGAACCTCAAACGTATCAAGAAACTAAGACTTTACCTTATTCAGCACCATCAGAGAAGGGTACTATATTTTTTCATAGTCATATTACATTTTGTACACACTCTGGTGCTTTGCAGCACCATCATCCCATGGCTCTCAGAGCAAAGGTGCAGCTCACTGCACTTGTTTGAAACCTACCACTGCCAAGAGTCACATTCGTGCACAGGCTGAAACCACTGCTATGCAACAAGGCACTTTGAAAACCAGATGCCATTTACAAAACACATTTCAGTTGAAATGACTGTGCAATAGTCTCCTGGAGCTAAATTCAATGACCCTAGTACAAATTATGTGTGTGTAAAAAAACCTGCTCAAAATTATTTCAATCAAAATTATAGGCAGAGTATGCTCAGTATGTCAGCCTCGCTCCAAAAGCTCATACAGAAAGGTAACCATAGAATACTGCAACTATATATGTTTAAGCCAGCAACTGTTTTCATAAAAATTATTAAAAATAAATTAACACCTTTCTGAATGCTTGTACAAAAAAAAAAATCAGGTTTTGATACTGAATTATGTTTTGCACAAGGCTTTTAATGCATGAAAAAAATACAACAGAAGGGACACCCCTCCAGATTACCTATAGCCTTCCAGTGTGTAATTAAAGCATTCATCACCACATGCTTCGGCTTGATATTTTACCTTTTTCTCAGCTTAAAGTAATTCAACTCTTTTTTTAAACTATACTGCGAATGCAGTCAAAATGTATTTGACATTATCAGAGCCA